CTCACATGGAACACAAAAAGTCATTACTCACTGAAAATCTAATTCACAAGCATGTTCAGATTCCAAAATGCCTCACACCAGGTTTATCATCACCAATGCTGAATCACCATTGGTTCTCATGCACGTTGTAACCAAACATGATATACCAGTTTACATAAATAAGATGGAGAACAAGATTTGAGCTACAGTGGAGGGAAAGATAAAAAAATAATAATAATTTGCTCCCCACATAAAGTTGAATATGGACTTTATTTATAGAGCTTGACAGACCACATGGTCACTACGAACTGTCATTGTGCTGTTAGTGTTTCACTGGAGAAAAAACAACAACACAAAACAGACAAACAAACAAATGACATGATGTTGAGCATAAATGAGAGAACTAGTTTAGGTTGTTTGAAGATACTGTACTGTCTTGATTTACCAGGTGCAGCAATGGCAGATTATATTTCTAAACTTTTATTTGGTCATTTGTGCCTTTCCAGACATTGTGGATATCCTGACTTTTCCATTTGCAAGTACCGGTGAGAGGTTTGGTATCATACATACGTTTTCCTCCTTCAGAAATAGAGATCTAGAAAGGAGACGCACCCTCGCTCTCAAACAGCCAAGGTCAGATTTGCTGTCAAGAAGCTTCATTCAAATTTCTCAATGCTACTTGATAACAATTACAATGCTGTTTGAAAAAAAGTTCATTAAATTAAGTTAGATATTCATTAAATACATATAAAGCACATACAAAGGGTGATCTAGATGGTTGCTATGGCATTTCTGAAACTTAACTCTTTAAAAATGTACCATCTAGAAAAGTGCCTATTGTCAGCCTGTTTAATTACAGCCTAGTAATTCCCTAGAATGCACTGAAAACACCAACTGCTTAACAACAATTAAGCAACCACAAAAACACATTGCAAAACTATAGCCACTATTCAGAACATCTTAGTAACTCCCTAGCAATGCACCTAGGGACCACACAGAACACACTAGGCATCTCTCAGTATACCTTAGCAACAACACCCCTACAATCAGCCAGAATATTTTAACAACAGCCCTAGAATATACTGAGAATCATAGCAACCCTCAATCATAACACCCTACTCATCACCCAGAATTCATTAGCAACACCCTTGCAATGCTCCAGAGACCACTCTGAACACCCTAATAACACCCTAGTCATGACTCAGAATACCTTAGCAATACCCTAGCAATGTTATATCATCAACTTACATCACCTTAGTAACAACCTGGCAACACCCCTACAGTAGAGTCACCCAGAATATGCAGCCTAGCAACGCTCTAGAATGCACTGAGAACACCTTAGCAACCTCTTAGCAACACCCTAATCGTCACTCGGAATACATGAGAAACACCCTAGATGTCACTCAGAAAACCTAAGCAACACCCTATTCGTCACTCGGAATACCTTAGCAACACGCTAGTTGTCACTCGGAATACCTTAGCAACACCCTAGTCGTCACTCGGAATACCTTAGCAACACTCTAGTCATCACTTGGAATACCTTAGCAACACCCTAGTCATCACTCGGAATACATGCGCAACACCCTAGTTGTCACTCGAAATACCTTAGCAACACCCTAGTTGTAACTCAGAATACCTTAGCAACACCCTATTCGTCACTCGGAATACCTTAGCAACACCCTAGTCGTCACTCGGAATACCTTAGCAACACCCTAGTC